AAATTGACAGAGAGGCAGAAAACCATACAGGTGAGAAAAAAGACAAATGACCTTAAACCATATTTTTGAGTCATGTTGAATCATCACTATAAGAAACTCCTGTAATTTTGCATAAATCACAGTAGGAAAAGAGTATATAACGTGGGCCACAAACACTTTGGCATAAGGCACCCAGACACAACAAGAAGGAAAAAGGGGGTGATGTTTCTTTTCTTTGTTTCCCGTATAGTATCCAAATCATTTTCTTCCCACTTTTACATTCTGAAGATTTAAAATTCAGGCCTTATCGAGAGCTCAGATGGGAATTCTCACCCGTGCAACAACACAATGGAAGCACACGAGTCATCAGACAGAGGCCTGAATTATTCAGAGAATTGCCCATTTCAGCTCATCAAAAATGTAGGGTTGGCCTCTCTGCATATTTAAACAAAATATAATGGGATTATTGCTATGAAGACTCAAGCCCTATCACAAGGCTGGTTTAAAATAAATGAGAAACAGCATAAATAAAATAAAACCAATTGTTGGTATTTAAGAACTGTTAACATTGGTTTATACAATAGTAGTTTATGGACAAAGCAGACTTCTCAAATTTAGGGTGCATCAAAGTCATCTGGAGATACTAAAACACAGATTCCAGAGATTCTGATTTTAATTCGAATCCTTGGTTTGCTGCTGCAGGCCCCCACCGCAGAATTTGGAGTGTCACCAGACCAGGGTACTGACGTCCCAGGAATATTCATATAGCTGCTGCTTCTCACTACACTCCATGTCCTGACTTTAATATGCCCCCCCCCCCCATTTTACATTTCTCTATTCTTTATTTACACAAATTACAATTTTCCTTTCTGCTAATACTCATCATTATACAATTCTATCATCACATTAAAATATGAGCAATAAATTGTGATTAAAATATACTAATGATAATGATGAGTTTCATGTCCAAGGCCTTCCCCGTTGTTTGCCAGATACTGTCATACACTCTGAAGGGCATGATTACCTCGTTAGGCCAGGCTTGATCTCTACATGCTCAAAGGATGTCGTTTCAAGAACCTGGGTTGGAAGTTTTGACTTAATCTGCAGGCTCGGTCATCCCCTAGCGGCCCTGGTAATGCCAGAGAGGAAAATTCTGTGCGAGCGATACTGAGGAAGGCAAGAGGGGGTGAGCAGAGGCATCTGAGCAGATTGTCTGGGGAAGGACATTCCAGGCAAAGGGGAGTCCCATGGAAAGGAAGGAAGGAATATTCTGGAGAAACAGCAAGGAGGCCAGTGTGCCAAAGCAGAGTGAGCCATGCAGGGAGTGGTAAGAGACGAAATCAGAGAAGGAGCAAGAGGGCCATGAGCCTCGGGCCGTGTTAGGCCATTCACTGCTGTCGGCTTTTGCCCTGAGTAAGACAGCTAGCCTTGGAGCATTCAGAGCAAAGGAGTGACACGGTCTGACTTACATCCTAAAGGGATCACTCGGGTTGCGGTGTTGGCTCCGTCATGAGGAAATGAGGGAACTCGGGGAAACTGATCGACAAATTTGCAAGAGTTTCACGTGGGCTTCAAGCCATGCGTGCTCTTGTCGGAAGGGAGCCTGCACATGCGTCCCCCTATCTGCCAGTGATCTTATGTACCATTTGGGAAATTAAAATATTGATGGACTCTCCAAGACTTGGAATTTCTTTCAACTATTGGCAGAAGGTTAACAACACAGATGCTTTCCTGGCCTTAGGTCAGCTGTGTTTACTCCACATCAATGATCTTTGGAAACTTTATCCAAATGACTGTTGAAATTGTTTATTTCAGAACTAGGGAGACCAGATCCGCCCCACATCTCTTGAGTGTGAGCAGCTTTGTTTTGCAGAGGCAGTGGCTAAAACAGACCAGACATTTCCATCAGCTGTTTGGTCATTGTGCTTTTTATTGGAATTACAACATGTTATAGTATTTTTCTTTGCAGCTTAAACGTTGAGCAAACCCAGACATCCGGAGATGCTAAAATGAAAAATCTGTTTCCCTTTGCCTTGCCATTTGCCAAGCAAATTCCGTCAGACAGCACATTCTATACATTTCAAGTAAATGAAATGACTCTTAATGTGTTGGCAACATCTGTCACAAAACACTCTTCAGTCTATGGCTTAAATGCTTTGAGTAGAAACGGATCTGACAGTATATTTAATGAGGCACAATGATAGTTCAGGGCACTCGTTTGGCCTTAACAGTCATAGGTTTTCCCTTTTTTTTGTTCTTTTTCTCTTCCTTTTTAAATGTCCTATACAATACAGGGCACATTCTTTGATGAGGAAAAGTGGCTAGCAAACAGCATTCCTTGTTGAAGGTAACCAACACTTTAGCGTCTTGAAGTTGTCTTTCCCTGATAAGGTACCATCAAGAAAATTTGTCTCTCCAAGGGGTTCCACTTACTCACTGGCTGTAAAGTTCCCCCATCCCTTGAGACAGTTAAGGGAATTTATATTCTTAATAATTTGTAAGACTCCTTTGTTCGTGGACCATTTTTATTGACGACGAACAAGAACGTATGTTCTTACCAGCCCTCCCCTAAGAATTATTATTCTGTTGTCTATTTATTTGCAATAACGGGTCTGTTAGGAAAAGAATGTTTCCCTTATATTGTTTTACACTCCGAGCCTAGTTGTTGCTATTTACAAATCTGAATTATGACAAATCCCTTCCCACTCTTCCCTTTGATTGTCAGGTGTTTAGTTGATACACAGAAGCGGCACTCACTCTGTGGCATCTGTCAGCAAATGAGTCCCCAGACACTTTCTGAGAAAGGATTCCTTAAAGAGACCAGACAATCCCTCCTAAATTAATTCCAAATGCAGGCATTCAATCCTTCTGTTCTTATCATGCATGGGTGTTGACTCCTCTGTCACATATTCACATATCTCGTTTGCATGCTGCCTTCCAAACAAAGGCTTAAGAATGAGGTCACCCCCTAGAGCACCGAGAAGAAAATATTCTTACCAAACACAGTTTGGTCTTTATCTCTGATTTATGACCAACAATCTTTATGTGACTAGAACAGGCTGATGAAATCGAGGGGTTTCCAGGACTGGGACAGTTTAGCTGTATGTTAGAGTCTCTAGGGGCCAATATTCTGAAAAAGTAGACTAAGTCCCAAGTTCAAGAAGAGTATTGAAGTCTTGCACCTGCGAAGGATTAAAATATTGTGAAAGTGCCACTTTGGGGTTGAAAAATGATGTTTTAGGACTTGTCTTAACTCTGAGATTATTCTGTATAGTTTTTCTCTAAGTGATGTAAGAGGAACTCCAGTTCCTTCTAAAGTGTTTACTTCTGGTCGGGCACAGCAAATAGCTGAAACAGAGGCCAGGAAGTGCTTTTTGTTTTTTAATATAAAATAAAGGTGGTTTCCGTAAAGAAATTCAGACAGCAGGAAGAATAGTGAGGTGTCTCTGAATTATAAGTAGAAGTTTGTCTCGTACGTCTTGTTCAAGAAGCATCCTGACGAGACAGCTCACAGAAGCTTAAACATTCAAACAACGCAAATCCACAACTGTGTATATTTACAAGCGAAAGACCTCTAAAATAACATACATGTTTTCTGATTGATTCTTGCTCAAAAATCCTAATGCCTTTGGGACGAATCTGTACATTAAGCATTTCCAAATATTTGGCTCAACCACTGATCCCCCTCCATGTGAACGGGGAGGAGTCCATAAAAACGGCTGAGGGAGAGCCCGATCTTTTAACACGTACAGTTGGGAAGTTGGATTTGGATGATAACATAAGGAATTAATCACCCTGAGCAAAAGTGTTTGAGCGCACATTTGCTTGTGGGTAATTAGTTTGGGGGCTGAGAGCCTGTCATCTACATGAATCTGTCCCAGTTTTATTTCTTCAAAATGTTTACTTACGTATATGGAAAAAAAAAAGTCACAGTGAAAAAAATAATGTTTACAGAAAAAGTAGCCCTCGGATGCATAATCGTGTTATTACCACGAGCGTTTCAATGAGTTGTTACAGCGTGAGCTCCTGCTTCTATCATCATCCGTAAAATAAAGCATTGGATGATATAATATCCAAGACTCCATCCAACCCTAGATTTTCAATATTTTATAAAATATTTTTCCATTGTCTAAGTTAGTCAATTGAGTCAGGAAAGTAAGGCAGGGAAAGGAAGGGGAGGGTATGTGGCCGGGCCCTGGGCTTTCGTAGCCATGTGACACTTTGGATATTGACAGAAGTTTTTTTTTTAAATGTCTAGTGTTTCTTACATCTCAACAATTACAATAAACCAAAAAGCATATTGTAGAAGTAGGCGTTTCCTAACACTTGATGAAACACTTGACATTTCTACATTTTTTAAAAACTATAGCAATGTTGCATTTGGCCAGCATTTAAGTTTAGTATCCTCTGTCTTGTGTCAAGATACAAAGAAAGTAGGTCAAGATATTCAAATTTAGAAACATGGAAAGTAGTCACTTTAGTTTTTTTATAATGCTTACGTTAGATTTTAATATGCCCTTCCAAGAGATCCAGTGAAGGAACCCCATCTGGACTGGCATTATCACCCCCACCGTAGATTGTATTGAGGTGATCAAAATTATCCATCTAAATCCTGGATAAATGTTGTAAACCAGATGTCTTATTCAATATCAATAAAAACTGTAGAATTTCCATAATATTCATATTTTTTATTCAGAGAAGTTAGCATTTAGAACAATTAGAGAAGGGATATATATGATATCTTGGAATGCATTCTACATTGAATATTGGAGTTGCAAATAACCGGCATTTTAGACACATCACAAATAAATCACATCGGAGGGAAGGAAGTCGCTCATGTTAAACATTCAGATGAATAGAAAGTGACATGGATGGATGTAAAAATTATACATAGTTGACTTTAGCCTTTTCAGTAAAAAGTAAACACTTTGGAGGTTAACACAGTTTATCGTGTTTATTTGTTTTAAAAGTCTCCTTCCTGGTGGCCCGAGTTTTCAGATGGACATTGTCTGTGTTTCTAGGGTGCTGTGATCACGCCGACAATGGACCATCCCATGTCAATGCAGCCAGCAAACATGATGGGCCCCCTGACACAACAGATGAACCATCTTTCGTTGGGCACAACAGGAACGGTGAGTTGAAGAGTTTGTTTTGTTTTGTTTTCTTGGACTTCTTCAATAGAATGAACTACTCTCTCTTTTCACTGGTATTATCAGCAAAACTGGTGCTGTAGCATTGACTGACACACCTTTCAGGTCCCAGTAGGAACACGCTGCCGTCTGCGTGCTCATTCAGTTCCGGGACACGTTTACTCACGTGGACAACGTGAAGGTTGTATTGTGCTGCATTTAAATTCGAGTTACTTCTTGTTCTTAAGATGCAATGCACCAGGTATAATGCCTCTTTTTGGAAAAGCGTCTTTATGCATGCACCTGCATAAATCTAGACAGTGTAACTTAATCTACTTAGCCTGTTTTTCTTCTCCCAGATGCTTACTGCTTCAGTTAATACATCATTCCCGAGTTACTCACAAGTTGAGGGGCCAACCTTGACTATGACTAATATGCAGGGCTTTTTATTTATTGTCAATGTTTAAGTCAGTAAAAAGTAATTGAGAACCTGACATAATCGAGTTCTTTTCATCTTTCTTTTGAATATATTGACATAGATGATGTTGAAAAATAGGAAAGGAATCTAATGTACTTGATGTTTTGGGGTTTTTTTTTTTAATATATAAGTTGGGATATTTTTGACTAGCCATTATTTTTCCTTAGGGAACAAAAACATATCGAAAATACCTATTGCAGCCTTGATTTTATATCAGTGAGGCATTTGAAATCAGCAAAACTTTGTTTATTAATCCATACAAAGACAGTTCCCCAAATAGTCGAGAAGGCAAATGTTTACAACCACCTGGAATACTGCAACTTTGTTAATTACCATTATAGAAAGCAGTGAAAAAAATCAAAGTCAACCTCTCATGTGTCACCATTAGTAATAGTTTTTATTTTTTTTAATTGTCAAGGCAGATAATTCATAATTTTTAAAGATGTAGAAAGAAAAATATATTTTCTTTTTACTGAGGCAGCTTAAGTGTTATCGAAGGAACACTGGACTGGAAGGCAGGAACTCTAGACTCAAATCTTGATTGAGCCCTGTCATTTCTACCAGTTCTAATATCATCCAGTCTCAATTTCCCTTTCTGTCCGATTGAAGTGTTGAGCATGATGCACGGGGCCCCTTTGACTACATGCCTCTAGGTCTTTAAGCCTGTACGTCTTACAGTCACCAGTTTTGTGATCCTTCACAATTATGCTGACATCATCTTCCAATGTCTTTACAGATTGTACACTAGCTCTATAAGGGAAAGTTTGCCTAGAAGCAGTGCCTTCCTTGACACACAGCCTTTTTTTGGAGAGTAGGAAGTATCTGACACGTCCACTGAGGCCTCAGTAATCTGCTCTGAATAGGAAGGAAGTCCATACACCTAATGGAAAGAGTTGCTTTGTTTCAATAAAGAAATTTAATTGTATTAATGTAAACAAATTACCTATCTCTAGGGCATCAGTTGCTGGGCCTATAAAAAGCAGTTGATGATGCTTTACTTGTCTGAAGGCTTGGGCTGGGTCAAATGATTTCTTAGGTCTCTGACCTAGACTTTTTTTTTTTTGCCACTCTTTCTCAGCTTATTTTCTTAAATTGGGATGTACATCTTAAGAAGGTATACTGGATTGCTCAGAGTATTATAAATGAGCACCACACACTAGATAGCTTAAACAGCAGAGATGTTTCCATGACTGCTGGGCCAGAAGCCTGAGACCAAGGTGTTGGCCGGGCTGTTGTCTTCTGAGGCCTCTCCTTTATTTATTTATTTATTTATTTATTTATTTTTATTTTTATTTATTTTTGTCACAGATGTTTCTCTTTTTCCCAGCACCATTTACAATAGCTAAGATCTGAAAACAGCCCAAATGTCCATCAGTAGACAAATGGATGAAAAAGCTATGGTACATATACACAATGGAGTACTATGCAGCTATAAGAATGACCTAGATTTTTAAAAGTATATCAAAGGTGACACTGAACTTTACACTGTGGTATAGCTAATTTTCATCAGGGAGATAGAATTTGAAGATAATATTTCTAGAGCTTTTAGTAATGAGTAAGGATTATTTGTAGTCACTTTGCTCATTTACCAGCAAAACAGACTCCATAGTATGTTGGGGGCCTGAAGTTTCTCATGCTGCCCACTACTGATTTCCCTTCAAATCAGCTTGAATCTCCTTAAAGGATCGTACACTCTCAATAATAAAGTGTTGCAGTCTTATTATATTGAATAACAATGTGGAATCTGAGAAAAGAGGGAGTTATAATGCAAAGCGAGGCAAGAAACACTATAAATCCTACTCATTTGAATCAAAAGCAAAGCCGCTGACTTGCTGAGGTTCAAATTTGCAAAGTAAAAAAACTGTAAGAGTTAAGTTCAATTGAGATTATGACTGGATCCTTCAGGGAACTGAAAAATAAACTAAAATCTGTAGAACAGATTTAGGATTATAATAAGTATTGATTCAATAATATATATTATGATTCGTATTTGAGCATTTTCAACAAGAACACATTTACATATAAGATCAACAATTTCACCTCACTGGCAATAGCCAAATTATTCAAGAATGATATACAAGCCTTCCCTTTCTTAGCAAAAGTTTGAAGTATGTGGCTTATTTTTAATACCTAATTTTCTGTAGCTTTTTCACCCCGTTCTTTTCCCCCTTCACATTTGTACTAAAAAATGCTTACATATATTATGAGCTTTGTATAAATTGATGTTTTGCAAAGGTTTAAAATTTCATAAGGTTCTGGAAAGGCAGAGAGAAAACAATATTACTTTGTTGATTTATTCAACAAACTAACACTGTTTAGTGTCCAGAATGCTGCTATACGTTTTTCTCGAACTATCACTCTTGTACTTTAATATGCCATCATCGGTTCATTTTATGTGAATCTTTGATTGGCATTTGGAGTGGCTATCGGACTTTCCCACCTATTGCTTCTTTCCAACTACTTTATCACTGCTGGGAAGGTGGCATGATGTCATGGGAGGAACAGTGGAAGTTGGAATCAAATGAGTTCAAAGTCTGGCTCAGCCCCTTATTAGTTATGCATGCTTAGGCAGGTTATTTAACCTCTCTGAACTTTTAATTCCTCTTCTACAAAGTAGAAAATTATTTTCATCCCAGGGAATTGCCAGTGTTAAGGGGAATGATATATGTGACATCCCTAATACAGTGTAAAACCTAGCAGATGCTTATCAAAAGAGCCACCCGTACCACCCTACCTCTAGTGGCTTCAAACTGGTGGGACTCTGGTCCAAGTCACCAGAAGGGATGTAGGAAGTTAATGAGTTCACAACACAACTCACTGGCTTGCTCTGTTTCGTTTGGCATGACATTTCTTTTCCACGTTTCCACTTCCTCAGTGTCTAACGTGCCCTTCCAAGGTTGTAAACCCAGAAGTTCACAAAAGCCAGCCAAGTCGCATTCATGACTTGAGTTGGCTGAGTTCAGGCAAAAAAGCCTAGAAATATATAATCAAATTTGGTCTATATTTACCTCTTATGTACTATAAAAGTACATATTGGAGATTATATTTTAAATTATACATACGCATATATATAAAATCACTGGAATTATAATATATATAATTAATATATATGTATATATTAATCCTCACCCGAGGGTATTTTTTCATTTATCTTCAGATGGAGTGGGAGGGGGAGAGGGAGAGAGAGAGATGTCAGTGTGAAAGAGAAACATCGACTGGTTGCCTCCTACACTACCCTCACCAGGGCCCAGGACGAACCACAACCGAGGTACATACCCTTGGCTGGAGTCAAACCCACAACTCATTGGTCCATGGGCCAATGCTCTAACTGCGGAGCCAAACTGGCCAGGGCTAAATCAGATATATTTCTAATGCAGTACTAATAACACCTCTGCCTGAGTGCTAGGTGAACAGGAGGTGGAGGTGGCCCCCTCGGCAGCCGGGAACACGAGGCCCCATCTAAAGAACGCGGCCACTGCTCAAGTCCAGGTGGCTACTGCTACATAGGCACACAGACCTAGGGTGGCCTCACCTTCCAATTTCTTAAGACAAACTAAATATTTGGATTGTAATGGAAAATGTCCCTGTGTCTGAACATTGAATCCAGTTTGTCCTAAAAGCTCTCAGATTGTGACCCCTGCCCAGGATCGCCTGGTCCTCGGCTGACCTCTCTGGACATTGCCTCTTTTCATTCACAGGCTGCTACGACAGGGTTTCAGTTTCTAACGTGCTTCTCATTTGTACATGATTTCCTTAAGCAGTATCATTATTTTCATGGTTTTGAACTCTGCTTGCTATGCCAAAGACTCTTAAATCTGAGTCCTCAAGGCTAACTTCTTTGAAATCTTAGACCCATTTTCCAAGAACTTGCTAACGATCTCATGCAAATTTCCCTCCGATATCTCAAAATCGAGCATGACCCAAACTAATCACATTAGCTTCCCCAAGCTTTCTCCCCAACTGACCTTTTTCCCATTACACGTTCCTGCTTTTCATTTCCTCTCAAGACATGTCCATGACCATTTGCCCTGCGAGTCACGTGCTTCACCTAGGACTCATTCTGGGCTCTCTCCTTCACCACCATGTACAGTTACTTTGCAAGTCCCACCGATTTTGTCTCCTAGACATTTGTCAAAGTCATCCCTTCCTCCACACTCCTACACTCTGCCCTGGGCCTCATCAGGTTAATTATAAAAGTCTCCTAACTGTTCTTCCTGCGTCCTGTCTCAGCTGGCTCCAGTCCATTCTCCAGCATGTTGCCACAGCCAGTCAATCTAAAATCATCTGATTGTGTCTCTCTCTTACCGGTAACTTTCTAGTGGCTTTCAGACATCTAAGCTCACTGGAATTCTACAAAACAAGATGTGAGCAGGGACAGGTCACGATAAAGGCAGGAGCCTCAACTCCAGAAACAGACAGGTTCCAGGGCAGAGCCGAGAGAGCTGCAGTGAATGACCTACAGCAGGCAGTGGGCAGGGCTAACGGGGCGTTGGGTTGCAATTGTCCAGGTTAGAAGAGCGGCCTTAAGCCATGGGCCAGGTCCCACCTTCCTTTCTAAGATCCCTGGGTAGAGAAGCATATTGAGAGAAGCTTCTTTATCATCTTCATAAAAGTCGATATATGTGGTCCCTTATAACCCCCAATTCTTAAATGGATACCATGTAGCTTAATTGACCTTTCTCTACTATTTGCTACCTCAAATGTTTATTGCTCAATTTTCTACCTATTTTTAAGCTAGACAGAGTCTTCAAGGCCTTCAAATAAGTGAATTTTATGCAGGCATTGTAACTGTTTTATTCCAGGGCTCCGCTGACCTTGAAGAATTTTCTAGCTTTTCCACTTTTGTTTATTTATTTATTTTTGTCATAGGAGACCCTGGGTAGAACCAAAGCCCTGTTAACCATCCTTTCTTATCACTCGATTGTAAGCTTTAGCAGAACCCACTGGGGATTTTACTGTGTTATGAGGACCTCCAAATTGCACGACAATCTTGTTTTACAAGTTTCTTATCTCCTTTTCATTTGTTCAGTTGGTGGTCACCAGTGGCTTACACCGTCACCGGAATCTGTTGAAAGAAATAAAAAGTTTTTGTTCTGCACGCTCCTTATCTGCAGTTCTGTGTGTGTTCTCCAGACCTCTGGTGATTTGTGACATCACTGGATCCTGTGGTGTAACCATGGCCACTCACAAAGATAACCTTGTCATTCTACTCCATTTGCGCACCCTAGTTCGCTAACATTTTCCAGTCCCACCCTTCCTCCTTGATCACTCTAACATGTGGACAGGATCAGGTGAAATTCCTGAATCACTCAATTTGCTTAGAGATGGTCTTTTCTCAATTGTTACGTATGAATATAAGTATTAGGACTAAGAAGAAAAAAGAGCGATGCAGAATGTTAAATGGACTCGTGAGTAGGAAGTAATATCATAAATTCATAAATGGCAATGAGGATATCTCTTTAAGTGGTTTTTCAGGAAAACATGTCAATTAAACACTAGTCAAATACAAGACTGGAAATGTAGATAAAGGAATCATTTTTTTTTTAATTTGTTTAACCTTTTTGTAACATAAATGAACTTTGAAGGTAGTCTTTAAACAATAAATAAATAAGCATGAAGGGAAAGTCAAGTGTTATGAAAGTTTAATTGCAGATATTAAGTTTTTGCTGTTTAAAAGTGGATTTTGAATAGATAGTTGATAAAAGAGGAAATCAAATGCTAAAAAACATCAAAAATAGTAACCAAAGAAATAGTAATTTAACCAAACACACACTAAGGCATTCACACATAACCCATTCAATAAAGTTATAAAAATAATATACACTACTCACGAAAGTGTGAGAAATAAACATTCTCAATATGTGATGATAAGAATCTAAATTTATATAAGTCTCAGCTTGATAGCAAGATGGACAATCAAGACACTTTAAAATAACTCTACTGACTGATCAATAAGTTTTAGTTTTAGCAGCTATTTTATGGAAATATTCTAAAGTAACAGAAAAGCCTTTATAACATCAAAAATATTCAAGCTAGTGTCCATTATTATGTCTAATAAAGATGAATGATTAAATAAATCATAAGCCATCCACAAATCAGAGTGTAACAGTGCATGAAGTTATAAGAAATTAAAGTAAGTAGGAACAGGATTATTTATCATCTTAAATCAAAAGAGCAGGATGTAAATTTGCACATGTGCAGAATAATATCAAATATGAAAAAATATTTATGAAATAAGGCTGTAAGAAATACAAAGCAAGTATGTTTGTTTCTGGATTGATGGGGTTAGGAATAATTTATATTTCAATCATTATACTTTTCTGCATTCTCCAAGTATACAACAATAAGCATGATTTACTTTTATTTTTTATTTTTAAATGTTATAAATACATTTTTGGAAAAATATCTAGAGGTATGGTCTTAAAATTACCTTTTCATTTGTTTGTAGTAGTAATGTATGATTGCAGTTTTTTGAAAGGTACTAGGAACTACTGCCACTATTAATAAGATATTTGGAGACCCTATAAAAATTATTCTACTTATTCTAGCTTTGGAGATTATAATCAACTCACTAGTTCACATACCTGATGTAGAAACAAAATAACTCATGCCTAAGGTTTATTTGCTTTTGAATCTTTGATCGATGTTTGCTTTTGCTGGTCGAAGTGCCTTGTAATGTTGAACTTTTTATCTGTCCTCTCATGAGAAAGCGATTAACTTTGTCCTTTTTGGCAAGGAGAATAAATGGAGAAATTTCTGATAGTCCAAATGAAGTTTTCAAGTCGATGGAAAAATGAAGTTTGAGGTTTTAGTTTTTTTAAAGAAATAATGATCATGTAAATGGAATAAGGGTCGCACAGAACATCTACTTAACCGTTTTGGGGCAGTTTATTTGAATGTGAGCAATGTTTGGTCCATTGACACAGTTTACCCCTCCAAGGGCAATTAGGTCCATTTTTAAAAGGGGGGCCTTGGGCCATAGGCCAGGTCCAATTTTACTTTTGTAGATCTCTGGCTAAAGGAACTGTATGAAACCAAACCCTCTTTCTGATTTTCAGAGAAAAAGCAGATATGTTTGGTCCTATATAACCCCAGATTTTGAAATGGATGCCATGTAGTTTAGTCTTTCCCTACTATTTGCCACCTCCAATGTTATGACACTGTGGACAAAGACAGCAATGATCTGTTGAGTAGATTCTGTTCTACTCGCCTTCTCTCACTGTTCAAAAACACACAGCTCCTTGACCTTGACTGACAACCCCTGTGATCAGAGCCAGAGCTGAGCGATCAAAATGCATCAGCCCCCAGAGAGTATGAGAATGTGCAAATTTTTTATTTAGCTCTTTTAAATATTCCATTGTTTATTTTTATCTCCAGGACTTTGTTTCATATTGTGACCTGAGCCCCTTCAAGATTGGCTGCCCTATAGAACTTTTGGGACAGCCAGAAAGGGGACACATTTCATATTGATACCCCATGGAAGTGACCAAAATAATGACAGACTGAGGAAGATGACAGTGTTCTGGGACAGAATGTACTGTCCTAATAGGTCACATGGGACCTAACACCATGTACAAGGTGGTGGTTATGGAGACCATTGCATCCACTGTAAACTAGGCTGGGGTCATAGTGCCGTGACAGCTTGGAGGTAGGGGGCTTAGGCAATGACATGGCACACAGTGGGCATTTCCAAGTTGTACAGCTAAGATTCTGTTTTATTTTCTTTTGTACTTCATTGCATTCTTTCTCATGCTCTTTTCATTCAAAGATTCAGTCCCAAGACAGGATTATGATACTCCACCAGCTGTTGTGTCAGGTAGGAAAATTCTAATTCCTTTCAGACTTGATTGGTGGGGAGAGATGGAGGTTGCCTGGTTTTCTCCAAGACTCTTTAAAGCAGTGATTCTCAACGGGCTGGGCATAAGGAATTCAAATCTCAGTTGTGGGGCGAGGGGTAAGGGGTGAAGGAATGGGCAGAGCATGGTTCAAAAAATATATTTCCAATTCAACTTTTGTATGAAAAAATATGTCGCTTGTGTATTAAAAAGTAAAAGCTCAAAGACATTTGGTCTGTGAAGGATACGCAGAACACAGAGTCTGTTCTGTGGATCAGTGGTTCTCAGTATTAGAAGGGTCCATCAGAATTTCTGAGAAGTGGAAGAGGATATTTAGGTTTATCAAAGGAGACCACAAATTAATAAAATATAGTTTGAGAAGCACTGCTTTAGAGACCAGAATTCTCCTGAATTCAGAAAATCATCCCATTTTGCTTGCTCAGCACCCAACATAGTGTCTCACCCATAGTAGGTGCTCAATATAATTGTTTGTTGAATGAATCAAAACTTCAGATTTGTTCCAAAAATGGTATTTTGGATATTGAAAGAGAAGCTGCCAATGTTCTACTGGTACAACGAAGTGGCAGAGATTGATTTGAAATACGTTAGTGTCTTGAGGATTTCAATTAGCAATATTAAAGTTGTTTCATAAACTTTGGTGGTGCAGTTTATAATAGGGTATATGTATGTGAAAAGGTGGGTTTTTATTTTGAACTGCACAGATCTTGTGTTTTCTCAACTTTGAACTTTGATTTCTTGTGAAGAGGATAACGGGCACAATTTTTCATTTTTGTTGATTTTTTTTTAACTGAAGAAAATACTGGCAGCCTAAAGAGCTTTGAACTCTTTGATCCTTTCATGTGTTAGATGATGAGGACATAAAATCCAAAGCGCGAGATGAAGGCCAGAAATAGAGTGGAACAGCCCATCAGTCAGTAGAGCATGGCCACTGAGTAGTGGTTTTCAAGCAGAGAGCATCATGTTCTTGGCCACTGGGTTTGCTTAACCCAGCATCTAAAGGGTAATCCTTTCCTCCTGTCTTGCGGACTTGTTTAATTTTGCTCATGGATGAATATGCAACTTACAAGTTCAATTGAGAAACAATGAGTCAGCTTTCAGGTATGAAGTCACTCTGCTCTTCTTGAGGAGCTCAATAAATTGTCGTTAATTAAAACATCACTTCCCAAAGTGTATTACCTAGCATATAGCAATGTGCTACTTTAGTATACTTTGTTTAATGTAATGTAGCCTTTACTTGGTTTAATATATGGCATCTTTGTTTAATAAGAGACATCTACTCTTGAAAATTCATCAATATTAATAATAAGGAAAGACATAAACTGAAACTTTCCTTCAACTAGTTTTCCTAACTTTACTTTTAATAAGACACACACACACACACACACACACACACACACACACACAGCAATGAAAACATCAAAAGCACTTACTAGATATCAGCCATGGGTCAGGATCAATACATATCAACTGAAGCAGAACATCTGGCTTGGAGTTCCAACCTAATTCCATAGACAACAGCCACTGAAAGTTCTTGAGCAGAGAAATGTCTCAATTAAAGCAGTGCTTTGCGAGATGTAATCTGACATTTTTATGTGTACTTAAGGACTAAGAAACAGTGATCACATAGAAGAGTTAGAAAGCCCAGGTATGATATCATTGAGGATTAAAAAAAAAGTGATAAGATCCACCAGTGGAATACAAAAGAAGGGACTAATATAGAAGTGACAGGAAAAAGAACATTTGGGGAGATTTTGACAGTTGTTTTCCCCTGTTAAGATTGAATTGGTGGTTTGACATCTTACAAATTTGCACAGACTTCTTTGGCCTCTTCGGTCTACCTCTAAATGAAAATAGACTTGCCTTTAAAAAACATTTACAAATTTGTCTAGTGAGCACAAGTTGAGTGACTTTTGAAAAATGGAATATCCTTTGCTCAACCCTTGGGCAAATCAGGAAAGTAAAGCAGGCAAAGGTGTTGTAATATTTCCTTCCCATATCTCTCAGTATGTCAATATTGGACAATTCAAATAGTAATCCATTCTTTGTCAGTGTAGGAACCAACTAAATTATCATAATGTGTCAGACTTGAAGATATTTGTTTCATAATCTACAGAGACCTACCCAATCTAATTTCATTCAATCAACATATCAAACCTTTATTGAATACCTTCTGAATCTTGGCACTACACTCAAGTACTAGTGGTTCACGATGAATACAAAATAGACCACTGGTAAAAAAAAAAAAAAAAAAAAAAAAAAAAATCATGGTCTAATTTAAGGTTGTGGTTTTATTGTTTGTGATGTTTAAATGTATAAAGTATGGAGGAACTAAAATCTAGAGTCTGAAAAGAAAGATCATAAACACTCAGGAATAAACTTAATTCTGAGCTGAATTTGAAAGAAAAAATAGGAGTTGACCAGTTGGACAAGAGTGGGAAGTTCAGGAGGTTTATGGGATAGGATATGTAAACTCATGGAGACAGAAAACAGTGTGGAATAATTAATTAAATGACAACAAGTAATGTGTCATTCTTGGGCAAAAATATTACAATGGCCAACACTGAGGCTGGGTCAGGGTAAATCTGATTGTAGGACTCTTTCCTCTCTGAGTCACATATCAACTTTAAAAAATGTATTCAAATAATATTCACTGGGAGTGGCAATTACTGTGTTGGGGGCTAGGGATGCAACTTCCCTCTAAAAACCTATGATCCAATTAAGAAGTTAGGTACAAAAGATGATTACAACAGTGTCTTAAGTGCTTCCATATGGACTGTTTGTAAACTCTCCAATAAGATGCCTGAGTTCTGACACTAATTATGTAACTTTCTCATTGTGGAACCTTGGGGAAATTATATAATTTCTCTGTAGCTTGGTTTACTTGTTTGAGAAATTAATAATAGTTACCTAATATGGTTGTTGTGAGAATTAGGTAAGTTAAGATATGTAACCTACTTAAAGCAGATCCTAGCATAAAATAAGAGCTCAAATGTTATTAGTAACAACTATACTTATCATTCTTGTTCTAAGATGCAATGGTGAGACAAAGGAGAAACAGCTAGCATACAAGTAGAAGAAGTTAGTGAAAGGAGAAGAAACATCTTAACAGAGACTTAAGGACACATGGGGATTAACCAAGTAAAAAATAAGTTGGAGAGGAGAAGTTTCAGACCAAGAAGGCAGCACATACAAAGACTCTTGAATGATAGAGTATGGCAAATTTGGGTTATGGCAGATGGCTCAACAGGACAGGGGTACACAGAGAGATGGGGAGTAGAGAAAGTGAGCCTAGAGAAATAAGCAGTGTCACCAGAAATGGTAACTTGAACTCTACCCAGGTGGTAATAGATGTACAAGATGTACACTAAAAGTTTTAAGTTAGAGGGTGACGTGATCACTCTGGATACAGGGTGGAGAATGCAATGGAGAGAGGCAGAACTAGAAAATGGGGATCAGAACTCAAGAATCCAAGCATGAAATCAAGTTGGCATGTGCTTAAGTTGTGAAAATGAGAATGGAGAGTTGACAAATTTGTTATATATTAAGGAAGTGCAATACATAAGACTTAGTAACTAAAAGGATATCAGGATAGAGAGAGTAGATTAAAGATAGCTCTTAAGTTCCTGTCAATCCAATGGCCTGAGATGTCATTTGCAAGGATTGAAGCCAGAGGAAAGAGAATCGAGTTTAGCTGGAGAGAAACCAAGTTCAGTGTTGTACATGTTGAGTTTGAAGTGTCCATGAGGCATCTAAATGGAGATGATCAATAAATATTTGGATGTGTGTGTCTGGAGCTCAGAAAATAACATTTAGGTATGGGTGGGTTTTAGAGTTATCATCTTGGAATTAAGTCATGTCACCCAGAGAATGTGCTTAGAATGAAGGTGAGTAGGCAGATCCTTGAAAATAAAAATGTCCCCCAAAAACCAAACAACAAGGAGCTAAAATAAAAATTGGGAAAGACAACTATAGACATAAAAGGAAAACCAAGAATATGATCTTTCAAAAGAAGCCAACGCAAAAGAGTATTTCAAGAGAGGCCTGTCCAATAAGATGAGTCCTGAAAAGAAGCTATTGGATTTAGTTTCAGAGAGGTCACTGGTCAACCTGATGGTGCAGTTTTACGGGGAAGGGCAAAGGCAGCGGATGTCCTGTAAGGAAGTGGATGTAACAAATGCCAGAAACTTAATAAATTTGGCTTTCAAGAGGAGACTCATGGAGAAAGGAACTGATTGATTTATTCATTTTTTAAAGATGGGAAATATGTGTTCATGATAGGAAGAAGCCAGGAAATAGTTCTAAATTTGAAGATGTAATTCATAAAGGAGATGATTCATAGAACAAGGTCACTGAGGAAGCCAGATACTTCTAGGAATGTAGGAGGACAAGGACAAGAGGGGGGGATGAAATATGTGCATGTAAACCTGCAAATGTAGGAATAGGAAGTCAAAGGATTTCCTCCATGCTAAATGCTATTTGTTTTTAGGTGAAGTATTAAATGACAGCTGAGAGTGAATGGGAGATGGCACGGAGGCAGAACTTAGGAAAACTATGGAGTAAGAAAGCCAACTAGCAATACGTAGAAAGTTTGAAGGCATCACTGGGGGTCCATTTATAGATACCGATATGGATTTTTATGATACCAATCTGGGAAGTTGTTTGATTTTCCACAGTAGTAATAAGTAGCCAGAAAAGCAGACAGGTGGATTAATCCAAGGCTAAGGTTGTACTGAGTGGAGTCAGAAAAGGGGCAATGTGTGTTGGCAAGAGAGAGACTGAGTGACAAACTATAGTTTTCAGGATGAACAGAAAGAGAAAAGAGGGCAGTAGAGGATAGGAGACCAGGAGAAAAAGGGAAGAGAGAGACTGGAGGTATCAATGTACTCTATGAAGTGATCTGAAGTAGAATACTGGGATTCCAGATTTTGGATAATAAACTATTTCTTGGCAAAGTCAAGGT